CGATTTACATAATTGAACGAATTAATTATGCTAATTAATTACGACAATCAGTAAATCGTACATTGTTTCATTCTCTCAAAATGGCGTAACTTTACTTAATAAAGAATAATCGAAGAAAAATAATATAGCAGGGATATTTAAACATATGAATTATGATCAATTATAAATTTTGAAATATTTAAGGACTTATTACCGGGAAAAAATAATTAACAAAGGTGTAAGCAATACATAGTTATGAGAGTTGTTCGAGAGTTGGTGACGCAAATTAACTGTAGAGTTTACACTAAATTGAGAGAATAATCTTGTTTAGTATCATCAGGAATTGGGTCTAGTTTACGTTCATTCTGGTGAAGTCATTCAGTTTGTTAATACCATTAGGGCGGAATGACTTCAATCTGTGCATCCAGAACTTTTCTTTGCTTTTTCTCTGAGCATCTGTCCATCTTGGGTTATGGTCAATCACCACTACTGTCATGTCCTCCCATTTGTGACCCTCAAGGTTGAAATGTTCCCCAACGGGTTCATTGAGTTTTTTGGTCCTAATGGTCGAACGGTGGTTATTGACTCTCCTGCGGAGATCTCCTGTTTCACCAATATACTGTTTGGAGCAAACTTTGCAACTGATGAGATAAATGCAGTTGTCAGTATGACAGGACAAATTCCCTAGTATTTTGTAGCTGCGGCCTGTAACAGGGCTGTTAAAACTGTCTGTGTCAGTGCTGTGCTTACAAAGAAGACATCTTCTGTCAGAGCAAGTTTTAAAGCCCCCGTTAGGTAATGGGTTGTCCAGTCTGGTTCTTACTACCATGTCCTTTAGGTTCCTTGGGCGTCTGTATGCAGCCAATGGGGGTTCCTTAAAGACCTCTGCCATTCGTTTGTTTGAATGGAGAATTGGTAGGTTCTTTTGAAGGATACCGCTAAGGTTCTTAAGGACGGGATGGTATGTGGTTACCAGAGGGACCCTGCCGCTATTGTCTTTCTCCTTGTAGCGTAATAGGTTTTGCCTGTCATGTCCCGCCATCTCATCAATAGCTGTTTGTACGGTGCGGGCATTGTAGCCTCTTATGCATAAGTGGGACATAAGAAGACCACTTTGCTCCTGATATAAGGCAGGGGACGAACAGATGCGTCGAATTCTGGTGGCTAGACCCTTAGGCACTCCCTTAAAAGTGTGTGGGGGATGACAGCTAGAGGGCATAAGATATAGGTGGGAGTCTGTGGGTTTGGTGTGGAGATTGAATTCGATTTCACCATCAATCAGGGTAGATGTAGTATCTAGGAATACGTTTTTCGAATTAGATACGTCTACTGTAAATTTGATCGATTGATGAAAGGTGTTGGCAAACGTAATGAATGCCTCGAGGCTCTCGCGACATTCCACCCACTTCATCTCTATATCGTCTATGAAACGCAACCAGCTATGGGGCCTAAATGGTGCTTGAAGTAACAAGTTGCGTTCCAGTCTGCCCATGAAGACATTGGCATAAGACGGTGCCATTTTCGTACCCATAGCAGTGCCATTAACCTGCAGGTAATGTTCTCCATTGAACATGAAGTTGTTGAACTTGAGAACATGTTCAAGGAGCTTAGCAAGGGACTCTGTAGAAGGAATTTGTATGGACCTACTATCCCAGACTTCTCTACAGGCTTCGATACCCTCATCGTGTGGAATATTGGTGTACAAAGATGTGACGTCCATAGTCACGAGGAGGGTATGATTTGGGAGGCCAGTAGAGGGCGTCTTGTTAATGTAGTCCGTGGTGTCCTTGAGATAGGATGGCAAATTCTCTACGTGTGGACGGAGATGTAAATCAATGAATTCAGAAATTTTCTCCGTGGGGTGTCCAATTGCGCTGACTATGGGGCGACCTGGCATGCCTTCTTTGTGTATTTTAGGAAGCAGATAAAATTGTCCTGGTCTACAGTCAATAGGATTTAAGGTCTCATAGACGTTGATACCAATCTCATTTTTCTCAAACATATCGTCAAGAGTTTTGGTAATGGCGGTGGAGAATTCTTTAGTAGGGTCAGAGTCCAGTTTCTTATAGAAACGTTCGTCTGAGAGTTGTCTTTGGGCTTCCGCCATGTAAGTCTCTTTATCCATTACTACAACTGTAGAGCCTTTGTCTGCTTTCTTGATTACAATGTCATCCCGATTTTTTAATGATTGTAAGGCAAATCTCTCTTCCTTACTCAAATTGTCGGGAGTTTTGTCTGGCATTGAAAGGAGCTTCTCTATGTCTGACTCAACGGCGTCAATATACGACTCAAGCGCGCCGCACTTGCCCGGTGCAGGTTCCCAGTCACTCTTGGGCTTATAGAGTTTGTGTTCCTCTAGATCGTGTAAATCTGGCTTGGAAGAGTCGTATGAATTTACTTCGGAGTCTTTTCTAGAGAAGTGCTCCTTCAAACGTAGTCTCCGGAAGAATGCTCGGGTGTCCTCTCTGACTTGTTTTTCGTCGACCTCATGTGGCGTGGGGCAGAAATTTAGCCCCTTGGAAAGAAGTGAGGTCTCCGATTCGGAGAGAGGAGCACTAGATGTATTGAGCACTGGGCAGACGTCAGGAGTTTGTATGGGTCCGTCCCTCGCGATTGCCTTAATGCGTTTGAAGCGTCTCGAGCGGGGTTTGCGTGTTTTGTTAACTCTGACCTCTGACCAGTTGTTCCTAGACTGTGGAACACTGTCGCGGAGAAATTTCTTTTTTTGTGTCTTGTTGACTTTATTTGTCAGGGCCATATTATAGGTGTCTATAATATTATGGGCTTCATCAAGATCGGCCTGGGACATGATATCGTTGAGGGATGATTCTAAGGACTTGATCTCACTCTTCAATTGTCCTAACTTGTGGATATCCCAAGAAAGACAGAGTGACATCAATTGTTTAGAACATCTCCTTGTAATAATGTCCCAGCGTTCCTGAAAGCGTTTGGAGATTGGCCCTATGTTAGGTGTAACATTTATCTGAAAGCCTTTCGGAATAATGTCACACTCTAAATAGGTCTGTAAATTGGAGACCCGGTGTTCAGTTTTTATTGATTTTTGATGTTCTTTCTTTAGAAGTTTAAATGTTGGGTTATCTTTAATAGACATATTTGAAAGGAAATTAGAATTGCCAAAATGATAAGACTATTATAAGTTTTTAGTCGTATGAAGTCGAAAGATTCAACGAACGATTGTTCTGTTTTCTAAAGGATTTCGTTGATAACTCGTGCACGAATTCAAAAATATTAAAAACAAACGGTACGTGAGTAAAAATGGAAAAGGAAAAGTGGAAAGAACTTATTTGCAAAGGTTGGAAACAAAATAAATAGTAAAAAACGTCAAATGACGAAAGACATGACCAAAAATAAATGATAAGAACAGAAAATATAGATAAAGAAATAATGGATATACGGGTGGATCTGTGAAGATACAGTTGGCGAAAAAGGATATAAAAAGCACTAAAAAACCAACAACACTGTATATCCTAAATGTCGGATCTACCAAGTAGATACAAGGTCACGGATGGAAATTTATATAAAGCACTAAAAATGACCAACGACACGAACAATAGAAATTGTCAAATTTTCGGGACGCCCTGTCCCTTCCTCAGGACAAAGAAAAAAGTTAAAAAGTCATAAGAACAAAGGAAAAAGAGAAACAAAAACAACTAGCACTACTACTAAACTACTAAACACTAGATATTTACATACTTAATTACATGATGAATTGGAAATTTTTAAAAACACTAATAAATCTGACCATAACCCAAGATGGACAGATGCTCAGAGAAAAAGCAAAGAAAAGTTCTGGATGCACAGATTGAAGTCATTCCGCCCTAATGGTATTAACAAACTGAATGACTTCACCAGAATGAACGTAAACTAGACCCAATTCCTGATGATACTAAACAAGATTATTCTCTCAATTTAGTGTAAACTCTACAGTTAATTTGCGTCACCAACTCTCGAACAACTCTCATAACTATGTATTGCTTACACCTTTGTTAATTATTTTTTCCCGGTAATAAGTCCTTAAATATTTCAAAATTTATAATTGATCATAATTCATATGTTTAAATATCCCTGCTATATTATTTTTCTTCGATTATTCTTTATTAAGTAAAGTTACGCCATTTTGAGAGAATGAAACAATGTACGATTTACTGATTGTCGTAATTAATTAGCATAATTAATTCGTTCAATTATGTAAATCGCACTTCGCCCGAGTATACCCGATAGACCGGACGCATTTCATAGCGGTCCGGATTTCTTTCTTTATTAGTGTTTTTAAAAATTTCCAATTCATCATGTAATTAAGTATGTAAATATCTAGTGTTTAGTAGTTTAGTAGTAGTGCTAGTTGTTTTTGTTTCTCTTTTTCCTTTGTTCTTATGACTTTTTAACTTTTTTCTTTGTCCTGAGGAAGGGACAGGGCGTCCCGAAAATTTGACAATTTCTATTGTTCGTGTCGTTGGTCATTTTTAGTGCTTTATATAAATTTCCATCCGTGACCTTGTATCTACTTGGTAGATCCGACATTTAGGATATACAGTGTTGTTGGTTTTTTAGTGCTTTTTATATATATATATATATATATATATATATATATATATATATATATATATATATATATATATATATATATATATTTATTTATATATATATATATATATCATGTGTTCTTCACATTTTGTTTTGTAATCAAGCTTACAGTTTGCTTGCTAGACAAAAGTAGAGAAAAACATTCGAAGGTTGCATTTATTTCTCGATTTTTGTCCAACTTCCTATGTCCAATTCACCCTTCATATGGTTTGAACCAAAATTTATTGAAATCTATTCAGGCTTTTCTAGGAGGTAGCTGGAAATGTTCAAAAGCTACCCCCTCAAAAAAAAACCGATGATGTATGCCTGTGATCAAAGTTAGCAAAATGGCATCCGAGTAACTTTAATGAACTAATAGATATGACTGACAGAAAACAAAGGAAGGATATGAAATTGTTAGCTAAGTAGTTTATGACCTTTTCAGCAGCAGTTCTCATGAACGTTTTTGCCGGATCGGACCAGATAGCTGGCACTGTTAGGACCCATCTGATGTCATTTAGCTGTATATCTGTGTTTTGGTTCTTACATTCCAGTATCAGTGAATCCTTGAGATATCGTATAGACTCCGAAAATACAAGCAAGGCTGGAAGTGTCTTTCCATCTACATCTTCAACTAACACCTCGTCATGACTTGACTTGAAAAAGGAATAAACAAATGAAATATTAAATCTAAAAAAATTAGAGTGGTTTATCCCTTCGACGTGTTTTCTACTATATTTTTTACTTTCAAACCACCAAAACTTAAGAGACTGTTGTTTTACTGATGTGAAGAAATAAAGAAGATGAAGTTTGGTATAGTCTAAGTAATTGCACAATGTCAAAAGTCAAAACAGACCAAAAATGTAGGATTTGTAGCTGTTTTAAACTTATTTTATTGAATAACTCAAAAGGATTGGAAAAAAAGTCTTTTTTTTCAATTTACGAGCTTCTTTCCTTAAATATTACTAAAAGTCGTGCAATTGAAAAAAGTACATATAATATATAACATTTAAAGAATATCCTTGTTTTGAAACCATTGAAAATCTTATAGTTGAAATCAAAAACCCTGGTACAGCGTATAGATTTTTTAACTGTGTAGCAAGTCCTTCTGAAACTGTCTCAATTGCAATGAAAAACAACCAACTGTACATTGCGGACCTATGATTTTCGAGCTACTTTTCATGTTTAGAAGTCCCTAAGTATTTCGCAAATAATTCACATTAACATGCTTTATATCTTGCACTATGATCAGAATTATAATTCTCGGTCAAATATATCGCATCTTTATAATGGAACGGTTCTAAGGATAAGACAAATATACTAGTGTAATATATTTGTTGAAGTATGGGATTTATTAAGTATTTTAAGATCCAGTTTACTTCATATTCTCTTTTTCTGTCAATATAAAAATCATAACAGACATTGATAATATTTTTTTTTAAATATCGTCTTAAATTGCTTTTGTGCATACATCAGAATGCCTCATTTGTATGCTTTCCACTTATATTTATAATAAAAAAAAATTGTACTATTTTACAACCACATAACAGATATGCAAAACGATACCAGGAAAAACAAGAAATTAATTCTTATCATAAAATTTCTATGAAAAAAGTTATGTGAGAAAATAGAAATGAAAAAAAAAATCACGTGAATTACCTCAAATTTGCTTTGACATGCTATATATTGGTCTGAAATTGTAAAATATAAAATTTCGAAAAGGGCATTTAATAATTACATGATTTTGTCTGTTTAGAACAACTGTTGCCATAATATTTTGAAATTTCCAGCAGTCAATGTCTTGTTCACCAAAACTCTGAGTGAATATTTAAACACAGGTTAAGGAGAGATGATATAAACAAAAGCATGGATGATTGGATTGTATATATTTTTTTTACCTAATTTCATTGCAAATGATGCAATTAATAAATTTCTTGAATTTTAAGAATTTGTAAACCTTCTATGTTGTTCAAAATTCTTACTCTCTGAAGCCATCCTTATTAATCCATACAAATCTTTTTCACTTAAAATTCTCGTTTTTGTAAAAAATTCATTAAAAAATTAAAAACTACGCGGTGAAAGTTATTCATACTACTCAAAATTTCATGTCGGCCGAGTAGCAGCGGTCAGAAAGCTATTACAGACTGGAAATACATTGTAGGTATAGGAAAACTAATATTGGGTATTTTTTTGAGTGAAACAATTAATTTAATTGTTCTTCTTACCCGTATAGCATATAAGGACATTTTGAATCTCCTGAAAAGATACCAGTCACGTTGCTCCTTATCTAGAGTAAGCTCCATATATTTTTCTTCTGCCTCAAAGCCAAAGTTTGCGAATTGTTTCTCGTTTGTAAACAAGATGCAGGTTGATGTTTTTTGGGAAGTCATTGTTGTAATTGGATCAATCCATTGCTTGATTGCAGATTTTGTCGGGTCTCTTGTAAAATCATGCCTGCTTGAGAAGGTATATCCAGAGTACGTCGTGCCTAAGTCTATGGCAGCACACATGAGGTAGTTCGCCTGTTCACTTGACGTCATTTTTTTTCCAATCGTATACCTTGTCAACTCTACTAAAGATATTAAAACCAGTGGATATGAAAGCTCTTTACCTAGCGAATAATTGCTTTGTTACCGGAAAGTATAACAATAACTTTCCAATTTAATTAAATTATGGTTCATTCAATATTATACAATTATGGAATCTTTTGGTGTTGAATATGGTTTGCTATTCACCAGAAAAATATTCACATTGATCGAGGCGAAGTAATTGATAGAAAATTTAGGATTTATCATTTGGTACTTTAATCAAAATTATCGCTTCGAGAAGTGAGAACAATGAAATTTACTTAAAATTTAATTTATTCTTCGATTCCAATTAAGCAGAATGATAAGGACTGATTGGGACACAACAAAAAGTCCAAATACGTAGGATCCGTCCTATATTGCTCAAGTTGTGTACATGTATATCTAACCATAAATCTTTCTTTACCTGCTTTTATTTTCTGTGGAATTGTTTGCTTTTCATTAGAAATTTATCAATTTTACCACCCAAAACAAACGTTTAATAATGTCCAAAAAACTAAAATGCTTCTGCCTTAAATCCATTAAAATGACATGACTATCTTCATTCAGAGATTTTTGAATCTATAGAAATGAACATGTATCGTGTTTGAAAACTACTCACTGTAGACCGTCACCTGACAGGCAGATATTACCCTGATGGTATAATTACAGTATCACATCTGGGCCTGAACAAAATGGCAACAGTCAGGGTCAAACTATCGTTATCTTGATTGAATAATAAGAAACACACAAATATTTGAATATTTGTAATTAAATAGACAGAGACACAAATTAAGGGCTTAATTTCTCGTTTGTACTAAGTATGTTGTTAAACTTTTCCCTCGCCGTTCGATTCGGTCCCTCGCTTCGCTCGGCTCCAAATCTCATGGTACTTGGGAAAAGTTTACCAACATATACGTAGTCTAGTAGATTAACGGATCAACAGCAATAACATATTTATGATGGGTAGTGGTAACACACTTAAAATTTTGCACAGTAACTTGTTTGTGTAATATTGTTTAACCATTAGTATAACTAGAAGTACTATGAACACTGATACATGTATCCTTGAGTAATGGGAAACCAGGGTTTTGTGACATTTTTAAAAATAGCACCTCCCCATAGTCTCTCTTGTTAGGAAAGCTTAGGAAATGACGTAACCTTTTGGGAACGTGGGATCACGGTTGCCAAGATCTGCCCGATAGAAAGGGATAACGATTGACCAGAACTGACCAACCTAATGACAATACATCATAAACATGGTTAACATTGTGATTTATTAAAAGACTTTTGTTTATTTATAGACATTTGGAAAACACAAATCTCCCTTTAAATCTCGAGGATTCAAAGTTACAATCGATTAATGGTGTACTAATTAAGGTATTCAATGTATAATGAAGGGGTTTTGGTCAATTTTGAATTATTTTAAAATCAGTTAAAATGCATTGCTAAATAACAATAAAATTGAAATGAATAACATTTTTATAACTAATAACATGTACATGTAAGAAGCCGGTCATTTTGAACCTTTCAAGTTCTTGAAGATTTATCTACCTTTGATGAAGAAAATTTTTATTTCTTAAAATCTCTGTTGTAAATAATTTATTTTAACTTCATTTTGTATTATAGAGGGAGTTTATGCATATTTTTACCAAGATATTTGTTTGAAATTCAAATTATTTTATATACATTATCTTTTAAAAAAAAAAACATGTGCTGTCCATATATTTCAAGTAAAACGAGCATTTTCATTTTTATACAATCTTTGAAGTGCTCACATGCATTAAACTTTTGGACCATTCATCTATACGTTAAAATTTCGCCTCCGTTTAGTTTTCGCCTCTTTCGTCCTCGTCGGAAGTGGGCGAATTGAAAACGTGGCGAATTCAAAGAAAACAGTACAATATCTTAAATAAAACGGAACGAAAATAACCCTGTATATAGTATTAGGTACAAAATATGACTGTTATTTATTGAATACCTTAAATGAACACTTGAGATTTTATTATGGGACAATATTGAATGATACTCGTATTAAAAGGTGCATTAGTCAAGCGAAACGTTACAGGTAAAAAGAAAGAAAAATCATGAAAGAAATTACATGTGTATCATCTTAACTCTTTCTTCTTTATTCAACATTTTAAGTGCATATATTCTCTATTTTTACTTTGATTAAAAAGTAAGAACCATGATCAAATTGTGCTTATTTAACCTGCTGTCACGGATTGTAAAATAAAATTACCAATCAATGCAGAAAATTCATTCAATGAGGTACATTTAAGGAACTTCAAATTAAAACATATTCATTCATATCATTCTTTCTTTTATATGTCAAAGATCTTTCATTATGCTTTGTAAGATTTTGTAGTTTCTAAAACAAAAGATTTTTTATTTGCATTTTTACGAACCAATTTTGAACAATGTATAAGCCAAAGAAGACTCATATAATTCCAGCGTTCAAAATAGTAAGAAAACCATTCAGTCTTTACTAGCAAATACGATGAGAAATGCTCAGGAGAGATATTCGTGGTATCCAAGGGCATTTAAGAGAAGGATTACCAATGTACAGACTGAAAGACTGTTTAAACAAAGAAATCATAGAGACTTTTTATCACACGGAACTACAAAAAGTAACCTTTTTTACGTAGAAAAGGTAATAAAAAAAACCAAAGACCGAGAACGAAATAAGCAAAACCTCTTAAAGTGATTACACTGGTCATTTAAATTAAATTCATTCGCAAATGCATATAAACTGCACAATTTCAAATGTTTTTTTTTATATCAATCAATCCTTATAAAATACTTTCATCATGATAAAAACAAATTTGTGTATAAATTTGTTTATGTATGACTAATAAATATGACAATGAAAAAATGTCGTTTTTCTTGCTTCATTTCAACAAACATTTGATAAGGATCAGTTTAACTGATTTTCATCATACGGTTTCATACCTGGGTATTTTACTTGAAAAAGACGTTAATGGTAACCTAACAACCAAGTTATATGATAAACGTGACGACTTTAACTTTTCTATCGTCAACTTCCCTTACATATGCAGCAATATACCTTTATCACCTGCATACGGAGTATATATATCTCAGTTGATTCGATTCGCAAGAGCATGCTCTACGTATGAATAATTTCTGAAACGAGGTAAATTATTGACAAGCAAGTTGATGAAACAAGAATATTAGCAGCATCGTTTAAAGTCATCGTTTCGTAAGTTCTATGGTCGATACAAAATCTTGTCAGCAAATACAATTAACCATTGAGTCAAATGCTAACTGACGTTTTGCATACCAATTGTTAGTCCATTATTTATACACTGAATTGACGACATATTTTTCTGTTATTTCACGGTCATGACAATGAGCACACGTCGGGTGAAACGGTGAGCAGGGGATTCTTACTCCTCCATGGCACTTGATTCCACCTCTGATGTTTAGGAGGTCGGAGTTTGCTCTGCTCTTGTTTTGTATAGTTTTATGAACTTTGAGATTGAATACGTTTCATTATCTCCAAATCCTTCTTGAACAAAATTGCTATTTGCATGTTCTGTATTCCTGTTCTAATACTTTTAAATAAAAATTTTTAAAAAAAGAGAAAATGTGATGGAAGAAGATAAAATGATTGTGTCTTAAATCAAATAAATATGCAAAAGGTTCGTTTAAATGTATATGTCATAAATCCCATCACTTCAAGATTTAAATGTTCGCGTTTAATCGATAAATTCTTTTAGGATTTTTCTTTTTACATGTAATGTTTCGCTTGACGCGTGTGCCATTTAATAAATGTGTTATTCAAAATTGTCCCAATTTAAAATATCAAGTGTTCATATGAATAAGGACACCATTAATCAGTAGTAAATTAAAAAGATCGAGATTAAAAGGGAGGGTTTTTTTTTTCCAAATGTCTATAATTGATGAAAAAAACTCCTTTATTAAGTCACTATGGTAATCATGGAAATGAATAACTATCATGTGAATGGTCAGTTCTGATCAAACAATGTCCCTTTAAATTAGTCAGATCCGGTCAACCGTAATCCCAATTTTCCAAATCATTTCCTGCGCCTTACTGAGGGGAGGGGCTCTAGTAAAACTGGCGCATAAACCTCCGTCTCACATATGACAACAATGGCATAGTCCATGTTTTTCTCTTGAAAACCCAAAATAAGACTTAGATCCAAAAGGAGAAAAGGAGATGCACAGTGACATTATGTAATAAAGAATCAATGGATTTATCAATAAATTTTATTTTTTTTACTCAGAAATATAAGAGGAATGGCGAATAAAAGACTACAGAAAGAAAGAGAACGTCAATATTTTGCCATAGGAAACCCGAAATATGTGTCCAATCAAAAAGCAAAATAGGAGGTGCACAAAACCCTAAGTAACAAATATTCTGGGAACTGTAATTTATGAAGTTACAGGTATGAAAGTCTCTTTTAATTTCATCCAGTCTTTTAAGAGGAGTTGAGGATAAGAGATGGGTACCCCAAAGGGTGAAAGATGGGCAGACGGACAGACAGATAATTTATCCTTGGAATATATCATTTGTGAATTATATGTATTTTGATTTGATTCGTCGACAAACATTTGATAAAAAATTATGTAGCCTTCTGATTGATTACATCACGTCCTCTACTACAGGCAAACGTAGCTTCTGCATGTTTTCCCTTATTTTGTTGTACGTAAACGTTGCATGTTTCAAGTCTATTTCTTCTAAACTTGAAACGAAAACGCATGTTTCAAATTATATAATTACGATAACTTTCTTAACATTTTGTGTAAATTTGTAGGTTCCAAACATCTCTAAATGGAATTAGGAAAATAAGACGTCTTAATTACTTACCTTTTCTTTGGGACTATTCATTAGGATATGACTGTAGAAAGGAAGGAAAAATTCCACGAAAAACGCGCAAATCGTATAGAGAAATGTTAGGGAAACGAAAGTTGGATTCCCGACTTATTCTTATTTAACTTTTTAAATTATATTTATCTTGT